GTAAACAATCATAATGGGCACAATTTCTGGATGAAAGTGAAATTTTGAGTTGACTCGAGTCGGGAATAAAAAAAGAAGGAAAAAGTTTTTGGTAGAGATTTATGAATGAAAGAAATTCTAAGTTGACTCGGGTATATAATTTAAGCAAATTTCATGAATCGATTATTGTAATTTGTGAATGAATCTCTGCGATGAATTTTGAAGTTCGAAAAGCTAAGATTAAAGCCATCATTTTTTTGATGCTAGATAAAAGTCATTAGAGCAACTCCAAAGGGAGTTGCCATCAGGGGTGTTATCCCTATAACCGCTAAAATATCCCTAAATTCAAAAATTCGGACTTCAATGGGGGTGGCATCAGGGGTTGCAAAATGACATTAAGGGTCTTGGGGTGGCATTTTTAGAAACTCTAGAAAGAGAAAGGAAGAGGTTGCAAAATCACTGTTCAATCTCAACCCTCTTTCAACAGCTATATTCAACAAAACTTTTCTACAAATACAAAAATTTTGAAAAGAGAACTTACCTGATTTTTGCTCTGATTTTTCTTTAATCGTTGGAAAGAGGCACAAAGAGGCAAAGGCATTCTGGGAATCTTAGAGGGAAGGGGTAGGAGATTGAAAATTGTTTGCTATTGTCGTTGCTTGAAAATCGCATGTTGTTGCCATTATAAGTAGTCATTGTCGTTGTAAGTTGCAAAGGGCGCAGGGGAAGGGGAAGGGAGAAACAGACATTCTGGGAAGGCAAAGGGGAAAAAAATATTTTATTTAGGGGAATGGGAAGACGTTTGTAATTTATAATTACATCTAACACCCATGCTCTTGTTTTAATTTATAATTTATAATTTATTTATAATTTATGACAGATTTATTTTTTTTAATTAAGGGTAATTTTATTTATTTTTTAATTGATTGTTATATGCTCATTCTTTAAATTGATTATAATTTTTTTTTGTAAATGGATTAGCAATTTGACGGGTCTTTCATTAATTTGATTATGAACGACACCGATTTGAAATTTGAAATTTGAAATTTTTACTATAAAAATATATCCGTTAAATTGTGATCATTATGAAAACTATACATGTTTAAATATAATCATTATGTTTAATTATATTTGTTAATAAAAAATATTAAAAGGGCACCTCATTTTTGCACTTGCCATTGGAGTAGATTTATAATTCATGGACGCGAAAATACTGTTTAAGGTTGTAAATGATTGATTTGGCACCCCAACACGGCACCTCCCCTTTGGAGTTGCTCTTAGATTGAGCAAAAAAGATGATGAAAACGAGGAAGAGCAAGAGAAAAAGGAGGGGGTGTTTTGATCGACATGGGTGGATTGGATTTGAATTCGAATCGAATCTAATTCAACTCAATGCAAAAGTAGTCCGGTTTGAATCAATTCTAATGTAAAGTATTATATTTTATCCCATCTTTAGATGGAAATCATTTGTTTTGTGGGCCCCATTCGCATGTGAAGATAAAAAATATTAAAATGACTATTGCACATTTTTGTAAATAAATGTAATCCAATCTTATACCAAGTTTGGATTGAAATGATGTCAATCCAATCCAATAATATTGTCTAAGTTTTGGAAAAAAAATTTCATTCAATAAATTATGATTTTTTAAAACACATAGCTGAAATTTTGTTTATAAATTTTCAATACACAATTCATCACAAAATCATATGCATCATGCATCAAAAAATAAATGTACAACACAAATGCATAATTGTTATCCAAAAATACTATTGTTGATAAAAATAAGACATAATGATAGATAATAGGTCCATGTTATGCATACGTACATACACCACCTACAAATTATCTATTTGGAAACCCTCCACAACAAAATAAGGCAATATGGTTAATGGTGTTAATATGACATAAATATATATATATGCCTTATACGACGATCATACAAAATAGAGGCAACCCAAAAGGTGATTAAACATCCGGTTGTTTCACAAGTGTAGTTACATATATACCAAAATGACTTGTGGATATTAGCAGTGAATTCCGTAACGAGTTAGGGGTAACTGCAACAAATCAATCGTCAATGATTATGACACCGACTTTTGGACCAGAGTTAACCGACAGAGATGATCTTACACTATCTGAAAGTTGTGCGCTTGATGAAGGAACATCAATTTTGAAAATAAATTAAAAAATTGATAGTTAGGACAGGGATCTAGACAATACTCCGCAGCAAATTCTACTTCTTGCATGACATAGGCAACAAAACCATATTTTATATATATATATTGGTTTCTATATATATATATATATATATATTGGTTTCCTTTGACTATAAAACATTTAATTAATATATATATATAGATATGTATGTACTTTTTGCTGAAATTAATGAACTACACTTACTTCCAAATAATCATCTTATCCCTCCGCCAATCCTTTTATGACACATTTAGTGCGATTGTCCCATACAAATTTGCCCGTCTCTAACATTTTAGAAATAGTGAAATACTGTTGTTCCCAACAAAATATTATCCGTAAAAGCTTGTTGAATGAGAGACCAACTCATGACATACGCCTATGTAAGACATCTAACATTTGGTCGATCGTCTTCTTGTCATACCTCCCATACGAAGGTAATAAGTTCCGATTTTTGTAGTCAATCAACATATCAATTAGAACTTTTGTTTCATCAGCACTTATGCTTGGTATTCTCATGTCTAAGTAACACAATAACAACTTCACATTAGCTACATTCAACGCAAATATTAGATTTATCAACGCATCTATTGCTGAATATGGTAAATTAAAGCAAACATATGATTTCATTGTACCAAGATGGAGAAGCATCAATTCTACATTACAAATCACTTACTTACCTACATGCTTATCTGTTTTCACTTTTCCAATTATTGATTAGAAATGGAACAAGTGCACATATAACATAAGCAAAGCATTATAAANTACATACACCACCTACAAATTATCTATTTGGAAACCCTCCACAACAAAATAAGGCAATATGGTTAATGGTGTTAATATGACATAAATATATATATATGCCTTATACGACGATCATACAAAATAGAGGCAACCCAAAAGGTGATTAAACATCCGGTTGTTTCACAAGTGTAGTTACATATATACCAAAATGACTTGTGGATATTAGCAGTGAATTCCGTAACGAGTTAGGGGTAACTGCAACAAATCAATCGTCAATGATTATGACACCGACTTTTGGACCAGAGTTAACCGACAGAGATGATCTTACACTATCTGAAAGTTGTGCGCTTGATGAAGGAACATCAATTTTGAAAATAAATTAAAAAATTGATAGTTAGGACAGGGATCTAGACAATACTCCGCAACAAATTCTACTTCTTGCATGACATAGGCAACAAAACCATATTTTATATATATATATTGGTTTCTATATATATATATATATATATATTGGTTTCCTTTGACTATAAAACATTTAATTAATATATATATATAGATATGTATGTACTTTTTGCTGAAATTAATGAACTACACTTACTTCCAAATAATCATCTTATCCCTCCGCCAATCCTTTTATGACACATTTAGTGCGATTGTCCCATACAAATTTGCCCGTCTCTAACATTTTAGAAATAGTGAAATACTGTTGTTCCCAACAAAATATTATCCGTAAAAGCTTGTTGAATGAGAGACCAACTCATGACATACGCCTATGTAAGACATCTAACATTTGGTCGATCGTCTTCTTGTCATACCTCCCATACGAAGGTAATAAGTTCCGATTTTTGTAGTCAATCAACATATCAATTAGAACTTTTGTTTCATCAGCACTTATGCTTGGTATTCTCATGTCTAAGTAACACAATAACAACTTCACATTAGCTACATTCAACGCAAATATTAGATTTATCAACGCATCTATTGCTGAATATGGTAAATTAAAGCAAACATATGATTTCATTGTACCAAGATGGAGAAGCATCAATTCTACATTACAAATCACTTACTTACCTACATGCTTATCTGTTTTCACTTTTCCAATTATTGATTAGAAATGGAACAAGTGCACATATAACATAAGCAAAGCATTATAAAAAAAGACAACACTCATCCAATTCTACCCGACAAGTAGTACACAACATGAGTGACTATTACACCCAAAATCAACATCATTACACCTATCATGTACCACATAATATCTCGGTGATATCCATATCATTGCACGACGATTGGGGGTGGTACATCATGTGCCATTGCACATCCTTGTGAATTAATATTGCATAACGTTGCATTATCCTCCAATGCACCAATCATGTCCACTCCCATCCTCCCAAGGTGAATGTGTAACGTAGTCTCAACCTCATTATATATGAATCATACGACTTGTAAAGCACATCAGGAAACCTATTAACATGCAAATGACACTCTGTCCATGAACAGTAAATATTGCTACGTCACCAAATTTGAATAAAGTTGATTTCAATGTTATTGATTTCAATAAAGTTGAAACAAGCAATTATGAGTTCCCAATCAAGGCAACATTGCTACATCACCAAATTTAAATAGGTAACATTGCTACGTCACCAAATTTGGTGAAGATTTGTGAATGAAAGAAATTCTGAGTTGACTCGGGTATACAATTTAAGCAATTTTAATGAATCGATTATTGTAATTTGTGAATGAATCTCTGGGATGAATTTTCGGGTACGAAAGGCTAAGATTAAAGCCAATATTTTTTTGTTTGCTAGATAAAAGCCATTAGAGCAACCCAAAGGGAGTTGCCATCAAGGTGGCATCCCCATAACTGCTAAAATGTCATCCTAAATTCAAAAATTTGGACTCCAATATGGGTGGCATCAGGGGTTGCAAAATGGCATCAAGGGTCTTAGAGTAGTATTTTTGGCAACTCTGGAGAGAGAAAGGGAGAGGTTGCAAAATTGTTGTTCAATCCCAACCGCTCATTCAACGACTATATTCAACAAAAATTTTCTACAAATATAGAAATTTTGAAAAGAAAACTTACCTGATTTTTGCTCTGATTTTTCTTCAATCGTTGGAAGGAGGTGCAGAGACACAGAGGTGTTCTACAAATTACAGAGGGAAAGGGTAGGAGGTTGGGAATCGCTAGTCGTTGTCATTGCCTGAAAATCACTTATCGTTGTCTTTGTAAGTTGTCGTTGCCGTTGTAAGTTATAGAGGGAGCAAGGGAAGGGGAAACAAACATTCTGGGAAAGGGAGAAGCATTTTATTTAGGGAAAAGGGAAGGTGTTGTAATTTATAATTACATATGTCACCCTTGCTCTTGTTTTAATTTGTAATTTAATTTATAATTTATAATTTGTTTATAATTTATGGCAAATTTTTTTGTTTTACTTAAGGATAATTTTATTTATTTTTTAATTGATTATTTTATACTCATTCTTTAAATTGATTATAATTTTTTTTTGTAGATAAATTCGCAATTTGACAATTTTTTCACTTATTTGCTTATGAACAACACCAATTTGAAATTTGAAATTTGAAATTTGAAATTTTTACTATAAAAATATATTTGTTAAATTGTGATCGTTATGAAAACTATACCCGTTAAAATATTAACCATTAAGTTTAATAATATTTGTTCACAAAAAATATTAAAATGGCACCCCATTTTGTCACCTGTCATTGTAGTAGATTTATAATCCAAGGATGCCAAAACTCTATTCAAGGTTGTGAATGCTTGATTTGGCACCCCAAAATGACACCTCTCTTTAGAGTTGCTCTTAGATTGGGCAAGAAAAACGATGAAAACAAGGAAGAGCGAGAGAAAAAGGAGGAGGTGCTTGGATCGACATGGGTGGATTGGATTTGAATCAGAATCGAATCTAATCCAACCCAATGCAAAGTAGTCCGGTGTGAATCAATTCTAATGTAAAGTATTATATCCTCTCCCATCTTTGGATGGAAATTATTTGTTTTGTGGGCCTCATTCGCATGTGAAGATAAAAGATACTAAAATGACTATTGCACATTTTTGTAAATAAATGTAATTCAATCTTATACCAAGTTTGGATTGAAATTATGTCAATCCAATCCAATCCAATAATATTGTCTAAATTTTGGAAAAAAAATTTGATTCAATAAATTACGATTTTTTACAACACATAACCAAAAATTTGTTTATAAATTTACAATACACAATTCATCACAAAATCATATGCATCATGCATCAAAAAATAAATGTACAACACAAATGCATAATTGTAATCCAAAAATACTATTGTAGATAAAAATAAAATATAATGATTAGGCAATAGGTCCATGTTATGCATACGTTCATACACCACCTACAAATTGCCTATTTGGAGACCCTCCACAAAAAAATAAGGCAATATGATCAATGTTGTTAATATGACATAAATACATATAGATGCCTTGTACGACGATCATACAAAATAGAGGTAACACAAAAGGTGATTAAAGATCCGATTGTTCCACAAGTGTAGGTACATATATACCAAAATGACTTGTAGATATTAGTAGTGAATTTCGTAACGAGTTAGTGGTAACTACAACAAATCAGTCGTCAATGATTATGACATCGACTTTTGGATTAGAGTTAACCGACGGATATGATCTTACACTATCTGAAGGTTGGGTGTTTGATGAAGGAACATCATTTTTGAAAATAACTTCAAAAAATTAATAGTTAGGATAGGGATCTAGACAATACTCTGCAGCAAATTATATTTTTTACAAGATGTAGGCAGCAAAACCATATTGATTAAATGTTTTATAGTCAAAGGAAACTAAAAAAAAATGTATTTTTTTACTGAAATTAATGAACTAGACTTCCAAATAATTGTCTGATCCCTCCGCTAATCCTTTTATGACACATTTAGTTCGATTGTCTCATGCAAATTTGTTCATCTCCAACATCTCAGAAATAGTGAAATACTGTTATTCCCAAAAAAATATTATCCGTAAAAGCTCATTGAATGATAGGCCAAATCATGACATACGCTTATGTAAGACATCTAACATTCGATCGAACATCTTCTTGCCATACCTCCCATACGAAGGTAACAAATTCCAATTTTTGTAGTCAATCAACGTATCAATTATAAAAAAGACAACATTGATCCACCTCAACCCAACAAGTAGCAAGCAACATGGGTGACTATTACACCCAAAATCAATATTATTACACCTATCATCCATCACATAATATCTCGGTGATATCCATATCCTTGCACGACGATTGGGGGTGGTACATCATCTTCCATTGCACGTCTTTGTGGATTAATATTGCATAATGTTGCATTCTCCCCCACTGCACCAACTGTGTCCACTCTCATCCTCCCAAGGTGAATGTGTAACATAGTCTCAACCTCATTATATATGAATCCTATGACTTGTAAAGCACACCAGGAAACCTATTACCATGCAAATAGCACTCCGTCCATGAACAATAATATCCTACCTGTCGGCCAACAAATATGCATACCATCGTTCACAAATGTGCATTGCTACTGACATTGTAACATAGCTTGTTAACGACCAAAAGTTAAAAACATGATATGTATGTTATCGTACAAATGTCATATTACACAACGAAGAATGGGAAGTGATGAATTTGCATACACATCATTACATTCGAGCCCTAAAAATGCGCACATCCAAGATGTAATTGTGCATGTTGTAGTAATGCACAATTGATATACAAAAAATGTCAGCACAACCCAAATATGAGCCTATTACCTAATGTCTCCATACATACATAATTATACAACATAATACAAGTTCAAAATAAATTGTTCAAAGATTGTTTTAAGAGGCTCATCATACACTGCCATCTCAATTAAGTACGTGGTGTGTTCCACAAAATTTCTCTGACCCACGTAGGATGCTTGTACTCGGGCAAGCTGAAGAAGATTATAGTCAATATTTGAATGGAGGAAAGTAGCATAAGCATTTGCCAATGCTGACATTTTTTTTTTAATTTCCTCTTATTTACAACAATGTTGACATTTAACCACGGATAGCTATTGATATTCTCCAACATCACTAGCACACTGGGAATTCATATAGCCAAAATATATAATATAGAACTTTGTGGAATTGATTTCTTTACCTGAGCCTTAAGTTTCAAATATCTCATGACCCAAAGATTCAAACAACAATAGTGTCTTTCAACATTTTCCTTTTGAAGCAACACATATTTGTCGATTTAATTTCAGAAATTATGGCATAATTATTAGGTATGAAAAAATAAAAATTTGGTAAAACCAACCTCAAAATTTAGAGACAAGCCATCACGTAAGGCGAACTCGGCCTCTAGAATATTTCCCTCATTGAGCTTCTCTTCGATTACGGTAGTTTCTATGCAAACCCCATTTGCATAGAATTGTCGTAGCAACAGGTTATACGGGACTGGGTTCGATTCTATTGATACACTGTTTGACATCTTCTATAATGTCGTTGATTTCAATAAAGTTGAAACAAGCAATTCTGAGTCCTTAATCAAGGCAACATTGCCATGTCACCAAATTTGAATAGGCTGGTCAAACCTTAAAATTTACATTGAAATTTGCAGAGAGATGAGTAAACAGTTATAATGGGCACAATTTCTAGATGAAGGTGAAATTTTGAGTTGACTCGAGTCGGGAATAAAAAAAGAAAGAAAAAGGTTTTTGGTGGAGATTTGTGAAAGAAAGAAATTCTGAGTTGACTTGGGTATACAATTTAAGCAATTTTCAAGAATCAATTATTGTAATTTGTGAATGAATCTTCGGGATGAATTTTCAGGTTCTAAAGGCTAAGATTAAAGTCATTATTTTTTCACTGCTAGATAAAAGCCATTAGAGCAACTCCAAAGGGAGTTGCCATTAGGGGTGGCATCCCCATAACTGCTAAAATGCTACCCCAAATTTAAAATTTTGGATTTCAATGGGGTGGCATCAAAGGTTACAAAATGGCATCAAGGGTCATGAAGTGACATTTTTGGCAACTTTGGAGAGAGAAAGGGAGAGGTTGCAAAATCACTATTCAATCCCAACCGCTCTTTCAATGGCTATATTTAACAAAAATTTTCTATAAATACATAAATTTTGAAAAGAAAACTTATCTAATTTTTATTCTGATTTTTCTTCAATCAATGGAAGGAGGCGTAAAGACGCAGAAGCATTCTGGGAATCGCAAAGGGGAGGGGTAGAAGGCAGGGAATCACTTGCCATTATCGTTGTAAGTTGCAGAGGGTGCACGAAAAGGGGAAGGAGAAGGGGAAACATACATTCTAAGAAGAGAAAGGGATAGGAAGCATTTTATTTAGAGGGCGGGGAAGACATTCTAATTTATAATTACATCTGCCACTCCTGCTCTTGTTTTAATTTATAATTTATAATTTGTAATTTAAATTATAATTTATGTCAGATTTATTTTTTTTAATTAAGGGTAATTTTATTTATTTTTTCATTGATTATTTTATGCTCATTCTTTAAATTGATTATAATTTTTTTTTATAGATGGATTCGTAATTTGACGATTTTTTCACTGATTTGCTTATGAACGACACTGATTTGAAATTTTTACTATAAAAATATATCTGTTAAATTGCGATCGTTATGAAAACTATACCCGTTAAAATATAACCATTAAGTTTAATTATAATTGTTAATAAAAAATATTAAAATTTTAAAATGGCACCTCATTTTGGCACCTACCATTTGAGTAGATTTATAATTCAGGATGCCAAAACACTGTTCAAGGTAGCAAATGCTTGATTTGGCACCCCCAAAATGGCACCTTCCTTTAGAGTTGCTCTTAGATTGGGCAAGAAAAATGATGAAACCGAGGAAGAGCCAGAGAAAAAGGAGTGGTGTTTGTATCGACATGGATAGATTGGATTTGAATTGGAATCAAATCTAATCCAACCGAACACAAAGTAGTCCGGTTTGAATCAATTCTAATGTAAAGTATTATATCCTATCTCATCTTTGAATGGAAATCATTTGTTTTGTGGGCCCCATTCGTATGTGAAGATAAAAGATACTAAAATGACTATTGCACATTTTTGTAAATAAATGTAATCCAATCTTATACCAAGTTTGGATTGAAATGATGCCAATTCAATCCAATAATGTTCTCTAAGTTTTGGAAACAAAAATTTGATTTAATAAATTACAAATTTTTACAACACAGCCGAAAATTTGTTTATAAATTTACAATACACAATTTATCACAAAATCATATCCAACATGCATCAAAAAATAAAATGTACAACACAAATGCATAATTGTAATCCAAAAATACTATTGTAGATAACAATAAGACATAATGATAGACAATAGGTCCATGTTATGTATACGTTCATACACCACCTACAAATTGCCTATTTGGGGACTCTTCACAAAAAAAATAAGGCAATATGGTTAATGTTGTTAATATGACATAAATACATATATATGTCTTGTACGAAATCATACACCAACTTCAAAAATGAGCGACAAACCACCATGTAAGGCGGACTCGGCCTCTAGAATATTTTCCTCCTCGGGCATCTCTTCGATTATGGTAGTTTATATGCAAACCCCAATTGCACAGAATTGTCGCAGCAACGGGTCATCCCCGACTGGGCTCTATTCTGTCGGTGCATAACATCTTCTATAATGTCATTGATTTCAATGAAATTGAAACAAACAATTTTGAGTCCCCAATCAAGGCAACATTGCTTTTTGTCACCAAATTTGAATAGGCAAGTCAAACCTTGAAATTTACATTGGAATTTGTAGAGAGATGAGTAAGCAGTTATAATGGGCACAATTTCTAGATGAAGGTGAAATTTTGAGTTGACTCGAGTCAGGAATAAAAAAAGAAAGAAAAAAGTTTTTGGTGGAAATTTGTGAATGAAAGAAATTATGAGTTGACTAGAGTATACAATTTAAGCAATTTTCAAGAATCGATTATTGTAATTTGTGAATGAATTTCTAGGATGAATTTTCGGATTCAAAAGGCTAAGATTAAAACCATTATTTTTTTACTGCTAGGTAAAACCCATTAGAGCAACTCCAAAGGGAGTTGTCATCAGGGGTGACATCCTAAAATGTCATCCCAAATTCAAAAATTTGGACTCCAATGGGGTGATATTAGGGGTTACAAAATGGCATCAAGGGTCTTGGGGTGACATTTTTGACAACTCTAGAGAGAGAAGGAGAGTGGTTGTAAAATCACTGTTCAATCCCAACCGCTCTTTCAACGGCTATATTCAATAAAAATTTCTATAAATACAAAAATTTTGAAAATAAAACTTTCCTGATTTTTGTTTTGATTTTTCTTCAATCGTTGGAAGGAGGCCTAGAAACGTATAAGCGTTCTAGGAATCGCAGAGGGAAGGGGTAGGAGATTGGGAATCACTTGCCGTTGTCGTTGCCTAAAAATCGCTTGCCGTTTCCGTTGTAAGTAGCCATTGTTGTTTTCGTTGCTGTTGTAAGTTACAGAGGGCGTAAGGTAAGGGGAAGGGGTAGGAAGCGTTTTATTTAGGGTAAGGGAAAGGCGTTGTAATTTATAATTATATCTGCCACTCATGCTCTTGTTTTAATTTATAATTTGTAGTTTAATTTATAATTTATAATTTGTTTGTCATTTATGACAAATTTATTTGTTTTAATTAAGAGTAATTTTATTTATTTTTTAATTGATTATTTTATGCTTATTCTTTAAATTGATAATAATTTTTTTTTGTAGATGNGATGAAGGTGAAATTTTGAGTTGACTCGAGTCAGGAATAAAAAAAGAAAGAAAAAAGTTTTTGGTGGAAATTTGTGAATGAAAGAAATTATGAGTTGACTAGAGTATACAATTTAAGCAATTTTCAAGAATCGATTATTGTAATTTGTGAATGAATTTCAAGGATGAATTTTCGGATTCAAAAGGCTAAGATTAAAACCATTATTTTTTTACTGCTAGGTAAAACCCATTAGAGCAACTCCAAAGGGAGTTGTCATCAGGGGTGACATCCCTATAACTGCTAAAATGTCATCCCAAATTCAAAAATTTGGACTCCAATGGGGGTGATATCAGGGGTTACAAAATGGCATCAAGGGTCTTAGGGTGACATTTTTGACAACTCTAGAGAGAGAAGGAGAGCGGTTGTAAAATCACTGTTCAATCCCAACCGCTCTTTCTACGGCTATATTCAATAAAAATTTCTATAAATACAAAAATTTTGAAAATAAAACTTTCCTGATTTTTGTTTTGATTTTTCTTCAATCATTGGAAGGAGGCCTAGAAACGTATAAGCGTTCTAGGAATCGCAGAGGGAAGGGGTAGGAGATTGGGAATCACTTGCCGTTGTCGTTGCCTAAAAATCGCTTGCCGTCTCCGTTGTGAGTAGCCATTGTTGTTGTCGTTGCTGTTGTAAGTTACAGAGGGCATAAGGTAAGGGGAAGGGGTAGGAAGCGTTTTATTTAGGGTAAGGGGAAGGTGTTGTAATTTATAATTATATCTGCCACTCATGCTCTTGTTTTAATTTATAATTTGTAGTTTAATTTATAATTTATAATTTGTTTGTCATTTATGACAAATTTATTTGTTTTAATTAAGAGTAATTTTATTTATTTTTTAATTGATTATTTTATGCTTATTCTTTAAATTGATAATAATTTTTTTTTTGTAGATGGATTCGCAATTTGATGGTTCTTTCACTGATTTGCTTATGAATGACACTAATTTGAAATTTTTGCTATAAATATATATCCGTTAAATTGTGGTCGTTATGAAAACTATTACCTGTTAAAATATAACCATTAAGTTTAATTATATTTGTTAATAAAAAATATTAAAATGGAACTCCATTTTGGCACCTGTCATTGGAGTAGATTTATAATTCAGAGATGTCAAAACATTGTTCAAGGTTGCAAATGCTTGATTTGACACCCCAAAATGGCATCTCAAAGGTGCTCTCAGATTAGGCAAGAAAAACGATGAAAACGGGGAAGAATGGGAGAAAGCAGAGGNACCCCAAAATGGCACCTCAAAGGTGCTCTTAGATTAGACAAGAAAAACGATGAAAACGAGGAAGAATGGGAGAAAAAGGAGGGGTGTTTGGATCGACATGAGTACATTGGATATGAATCCGAATCGAATCTAATTCAACCCAATGCAAAGTAGTCTGGTCTAAATCATTCTAATGTGAAGTATTATATCCTATCCCAACTTTGGATGAAAATCATTTGTTTTTGTGGGTCCCATTCGCATGTAAAGATAAAAGATGCTAAAATGACTATTGCACATTTTTGTAAATANATGAATTTGCATACACATCATTACATTCGTGCCCTAAAAATACGCACATCCAAAATGTAATTGTGCATGTTGTAGTCATGCACAATTGATATACAAAAAATGTTAGCACAACCAAAATATGGGCCTGTTACCTAAATGTCTCCATACACACATAATTATACAACG